TCCTCGTTATGAATATGCAACATTTATATAAATTGTCACGCTTATTGCAGCCAGACTGTGTTTCACTCTCACGCTTTTTCCGCCTTTCCCCCATCAATTTTCTGGGAGTGCGGCTGCATCTGTCGTTCTACCAAATCAAAAAGCGAGATCTAGTTACAAAGCACTTACTTATGTTGTAATACTCTAACTGAAGTGGATTATTAAAAATATTGAGCTGGAATTGTTTTACAAGACTTGGCACTTGAGTAGGTTTAAGATACTTGGGAGAAAAAGTATCGAAGGTAGATGGAAACAAACTCTTGAAGCTCAATATCAATCAATTGATTTCAGTTTCCGCAGTATTGCAAACTATTTTAAATTAAAATCGAGTGTAAGAGTCTTATTATATGTTCATGTCGGGACGGGGAATGAAAGTATTCCCATTGGGGCTGCTAATACCCAAAGTTATAGAGTACAACAGCAACTTGCAACTTACAACCCTGGACCAAACGAAGCCAGCCTTCTGATGGTGGAACGCGCTTTTGTTGAACGTTGATTGCAATCATAATTTATAAATGTTGCCGACAGTTTGGCGGGTGCCACGATGTTGCAGTTGCTGCCGCCCATATTTCGCCATCAATAAATAAATATTATTTGTCTGTCTCGCTGTCTGACTGACTGGATGGCTCACTGGTCAGCCCTGCAAAGCCCGGACCGATGATGATGGTTAGAGGAGCGACGTTCAAAGCCGAAGCCATTAGCAAGTGATTTGGTGACTTTTTCCAATCTAATTGAATGTGCATGGGCAGGGCACGAAAGCATGTCGAGGGCTTAAAGCTGAAGTGTGGCCCAAATGGAGGCAGCACTGGCACTTTAAACTGCCAGGCAGAGTGAATTGTTTCTGTAGCCGGTAGTTTGCTGTTTTTCATTCACTCTTTGGCTCGTTTTAATCGCTGCCAGCTCAGACTAGTTGCAAACTGTTTGCCCATCGGGATCCAGTTCCCAGTTCCCAGTACCCAGTACCATAACCCATACCATCCCGTTCGCAGTCGCGCTGGTCAAGTGTTGTGGTTGCCATTTGTTTGTGCCAGAAAGCCGCATCAGCGCAGTGCCGCAGTTCTCGGGACTCCAGTGATTTACCAGCGGGCGAGGGCTTCTGGAAGGGGGCGAACGTGGCGTATGAGTGATGCAGCATGCATATTCATACACATTGAGATTCATTGTATTTGCCCTGCATTTCCGCAGTATTTTGTATTTTATCTGCTCGGTTCATGTTCGCTCTACTTACGACTTTTCCGCAATTTCTCTTTTCGCCCTTTACGGCCCTCAAGAGGCTGCGATAGGGGGGGCGAGGCTGGGGAGAATGGGAGTGTGTCGCTGTCATATTGCTCGCCTCAGCTGGGGCTTTAAGCAGATTTATTTTCAATTAAACAAGCTCATAACTTGGCCGACAAGTTGGCAGAACTTGGCTGTTAGGCATCCACTTTGGAGTCCTGCAAGTGTGTATCCTGGCTCTTGGTTCTGGCTTAATTTACGCCACAAATTCAATTTATTTGAGATACACCTAATCCACAAAAGCAAACTTGATTTATCAACATAAATATTTTGCATACAATGTGTGAGCATGGCCCCGTCTTTCCCAATTTCACCCCCCACCCATAAGCGAATGCATTTTGGTTTGGTTTTTGTTCCATTGTTGTTGTTTTGTCTCCGATCCATCGATGTTCGTGTGTGTGTGTGTGTGTGTGTGTGCTGAACGAAATTCAATTTTAATGCACTTGAATGGATTTGAGCAGCGCTTAGTTGACTTGATTACGAGCCTTTGGCTTTGGCTTTGGCTTTGGCTTCGGTTTGGTTTGGTTCGGTCCACAGAATTTCATTTGCTTTATGGATTTTGGATGCTCGATGGCCGAAACCATTTTTCCTCGACTCCGGCAAATCAAACACTTCAACAACTCAGCAACGAAACGAAACGAAACGAAGAGAAGCGAGACGAGATGAAATTCTTCATACTTTTGTGGAAATGTTTGTCAAGCTGCCAGCGCCAAACCAACATCGCAACGAAAGCCACTTGGCCGTATCTGGGAGTATTTGTCATAACGCATATAATTTCAAGAGCTCCTCTCAAGTGGGGCCGTCGAAAGAAGCAGAGAGCACACATATGCAGATGCGGAGTAAAATGCTAAATACACACAAGCCAGCAAAATGCTGATGATAATGCAAATGAAATTATTTTTACAACATTTACTCTCGAGCGGGCATGTTTCGCCCAGGCTCCGTCCACTCGCTATATAAATCATCATTTGCCTGCTGCAGCTTTCCCCCTCATTTAGTTGTCCTGTTCCCAGTGCGCACCCACACACATCCACTGCGCCAGGACACCACATTAATGTCCTGCGGAAGGAGGCGTGAGGATGTGAGCTGTGGGGCACCTAAAAACATGGCACTGCTTAGTGGGCGTGAAGTACTCGCTTTTGGACTTTAAGAGCGGCGCAGAGAAGGCTTTAAGATGCAAGGGCTGCACCAAAATGAACTTTATGTTCAGATAAGGCAACTTAGATAAGGCCTCAGCGTGACAAATGCTCTTTGCCAACTGATGTACTCCGCACGGAATAGGGCGTCCTGCGTTTGTCATAACAAACAATGTCAAATGGGCAACGAGCTCGACCTGAGGGATCTGGAAGCTGGCAGCAAAACTAATAATGCGACCCAGGGCGGGCCAAAGCTCCTGGTAATGCCATTTGGGCCTGCTCCATCTCCTCGCACAGCTGGCCGCTCATAAGTCATTCGAAAGAGCAAAAACAAATGCTCTGTCAATTGTCGGCCTGCCGCAAATGCTATAAAGCTGACAAATGTCGAACCGGCGCACAGATAGATATTCGCATGGGTGGGGATACAAACACGGATCGCAGGTACTCATAAAACCGTCCAAATGTCAATATCCCCGACCCACGTTGCCGTGCCCAAAAAAATGCTCTTCGAGCCGCGTTCGCTTTGATTTCGGTTGGCTGAATGATGAGGGCATGGGAGCACGAGGGGGCGAGGACATGGGGATGAGCCAGGACTTATTTGTTGCTGTCTGGAAAACACCTTGGCCAAGCAATTTCAATTTTCCCCCCAGCCGACAACAAGAAAATGAACATGTCAACGGCACACGTCGGATATGGACTTGGATTTGGCTTTAGTTTTGGTTTTGCCATTGGTATTGTGTGCACTGTCAAAAATTGCACTCAAGTTGCACGCAAGAGAATAATACTTTTCTATTGCACTTAACTGCATTGTGTAATTAAATCAAAGATAAATATGAAATTGCACGCCAAGTATTTTTTGTAACTTTGTATAAATATTTTTACATTATCAGAGGATCTCAGCAGTTAAAAGATACATATTCCTGTTCTATTATTTTGAAAGGGAAATCTTCCACACTTAATTCCTTGGAAATATAATTCAAATGCGAGAGTATACATTTAGAGAGTTACTTTTTAGCTATTAATTTAATATTTTGGGGTTTTTTCCTCTGTGTACATTTTTGTGGCTCGGTTAACCTGTCGGCTCTGCTCGGCTGCTCCGATTCGCTGCGCTTCGATTCAATTCGATTCGGTTTCGGGGGGGGTTCGTCGTTTTTTGGCAACTTTGTAAATATTACAAAATTTAGGTGTCTCGCTTGGTGAGTGCGCCAATGAAATATTTATGCTCACACACACCGGGGCGGCGTATCTGTGTGCGAGTGTCTCTCTTTGTGTTTGTTTTTGCACGAGCGTCGCCCGTTTTGTGCAAATATAAACCGACCACAGTCGAAAGGGGGCTTGCAGGTGGGATTTCAGGGGGTTTTCAGGGGGGTTTTCAGGGGGCTGGCGAGCACTGACTGACTGGGCCTGCCAGTTGTCTGATAAACAGACAATTTGCCAAAGTGGATACGTGCATGGCGCGTATAATTTTGGGGCACACCTGAGCCCCGTTCGGACCTCCTTTCGCACCAAGCACCCCCCACCCCCTCCGACCAAGCTTTTGGCCTAGACCCCGAGTGGAGCAACAGGAGCAGTGGAGCCCCGCCCTCCGCGCTCCACTGTGGCTGTATTTTGTGGTTGTGGACTTTAGCCTGATGAGTGTATCTATGTGCGCCAGGGATCGAGTGTGTGCTTAGTTGGTTAGTTTGGCTGATGAAGCGACATTGACAGGCCAAGTGACTTTCATGCTAAGCGGCTTTAAATTTGCCGTAGAAGGCTGAGTTTAAATGGAGCTGAAGAGCTCACCTGAAGGGTGTGCTTTTGGCCACTTTGTTTTCGCAGTAATAAATGTCCAGAAAGGACTGCAATTACAATTTGTCCAAAAATGAGAATTCACATTCTATGTGACATTCTATATTATAAACAGTGAGTGTCGTTTTCTACATTTGCGAGTACTGTTTCCGCAATCCAAACTTGGAAATGACTAGTTATTCGAAACCCTCCGTGCCTGAGTCACTGCCTGCCATTTCAATTTTAAGTTTGAAATTTGAAAATTCTCTGACGGCTGTATGCGTCAGTGCCTCCCACACAGCCGCTGGCCATATAGAAGAATCTCCGGCGTAACTTTTACGATTTTAATCGTGCAAATTTATGGCATTTTCCCGCACGATTTCCCCGTGGATGTCGGAGCGCCCGAAAACATGCATATATTCGGAAATAAATAAATGATGAAAACAAACACCAAAAACGCACACAAAGCAGCGCCTATAAAACTAAACTTTGGCCAACAGTTGCGGGCCGCAAAAAACACAGATATATACATACGATATATATGTACATATGTATATCTTTATCTGCATGTTTCGATGGACATGGGGGATGTATTCGGCTAAAGTCAGCGAGAGTTTGGAACTCGGAGTGCCGCTCATAATTTTTGCAGTTGCAGCATAATAAATTTGAAGCCCGGTTCGGCCAACTAGGCATTTTCAGGGTAGTGAGTTATGGCCATGGCAAATCGATGTTGACTTGAGTAATGGTTACTAACCGGTCTTGTTTTTCTGTGATTTTTTCCAGGTGAACGCCGGCAGCTTGTCCGAGCAGGCTGGCCTCCAGCCCGGCGATGCGGTGGTCAAGATCAACGACGTGGATGTCTTCAATCTGCGGCACAAGGATGCCCAGGACATTGTGGTGCGCTCCGGCAACAACTTTGTCATCACAGTGCAGCGGTAAGTAGATGGGACCACTTTCCAAAACAAGCCTCTGAATATTATCGCAATTTTCTTTTGTGACCCTTTAGCGGTGGCTCCACCTGGCGGCCGCATGTGACACCGACTGGCAATGTGCCGCAGCCCAACTCGCCGTATCTGCAGACGGTGACGAAGACCTCTCTGGCTCACAAACAACAGGACAGCCAGCACATCGGCTGTGGCTACAACAACGCGGCCCGTCCCTTCGTGAGTGTACTAATTTGCAATCACGCAGAGTATATCCCCATGCCCATCCTCGCACCACATCATTTATAAAATTCATAAACTGGCAGCCCAAAGTTGGGAATGCGGAAAGTTTTAGTGGCCCAGCTGATGCTGACGTCCTGATGATGACCAATGATGTTGATAGTTAGTCCTTGACTGCCCACACTCCACACGGCTCGCACTTTGCGTTTATTTTGTTGTCTGTCTGTGGCTTTTCATATTCATTCATTTCATTTTCGGTTGTTGGGCTGGGCCACCTAACCCCTAACCCCTGACCCCAAACCCGAAATCCCGTAGACCCGTAGACCCGTTCGCCCCGACCCCAAACGCTCAGTATGAGTTGACAACATTTGCATTTATACGATGTCTGTCTGTCTGACGCTCAGTTTGTTTGTGCGTAGTTTTGAAAAGTGTCAGAATGAGTAATGAATATGAGTGCTAGGATTATTTGCCTGGCAAGAATTAATGTGCAAAAGGTCTCTCACACACACTCACTCACCCACGCATCTGTATCTATGCCATGCCATGCATAGTAATGTCTCTCTTGGTGCGTCTGTGTTTGTGATATGCATACATTTACGTACATTTTATTGTTATGAATTTGTATAATAATAGCTCCAGCCAATGACAACGGACATGAAATTGATTTGGGATCATTTTATGTGCCAAGTTTCAGGAACAACATTATGGGAAGCATTGCAGCTTCATTTGATTTAGGGCCGTGTGTGATCCTATCTAAAATGTTACTGAGATATTGCAAGCACCACAGCTACACACATATCTCAGTATTTAAGTACCGAGATAAACGGATACACAACTCAATCTGGAACAGAATATGGCAATATGCTGCTAATTGTTTCTATTATTTCTAATATTCAATTGAAAAATGTTTAGGCTCCATGTCAGTTAGGTTGGCATTGTGAGAAGCGCAGAGGAGGGCTTAAACATGAAGAACAGTATCTTCCAATTACAATAAGTGCGTGGGCGACCTCCGCTTTCCTGTATTCATTTCACCAGAATCTTTGCTCATTTCACACTTTCTGAGCCTCATGTATTTCCTACATCTCACACTTATTTTTTTTTTAGTCCAACGGCGGCGATGGCGGCGTGAAGAGCATTGTCAATAAACAATACAACACCCCGGTTGGCATTTACAGCGATGAATCTATTGCGGAAACACTCTCGGCCCAGGCGGAGGTTTTGGCTGGCGGTGTGCTCGGGTAAGTTTTTCCGGGAAAAGTCTGGGCGAAAAGCTGGGGAAAAGGCAACAAACAATTGTCTGGGCCGCAGCCGTGACAGTGCAAAATATCAGAAAAAGTTTTACTTAATAGTGTTCTTTCTCTGTTCTGCTTTGCGCTGAGCCAAGAGAAAAAATACAACAAATTTAGCAGACTCAGAAAGCAGAAAGCACAGCGTGCGAGAAACCGCAGGCCGCTCGAAACGGAGAGTGCAATTTGGCAAATGATAGCCGTAGCTGCACAAGTCGGGCCAAGGGCTTCGGCTTGTGCCAGTTGTCGACTTTTGCGGGCCAAAACGCACGCGTGGGACCGTGGCCCGCGCCTTTAGCGCTTAATTTCTTTGGGGGATTGCCGGCCAACGCGGCGGATGCGTAACAATCTTGTTGCCGCCACTCACTCACTTAGTGGAGCATACTTTCGGGCTGCGCTGTGTGCACGCCTGAAAGTATGCTACAAGCCGAGCACAAGAGCTCTTGGTTTCATTTACTCCTGCGTTTCCAGTTTTTCATTTTTCCCAATCGTTAAAGCTCTCCTTGCTTGCTCTGAGATTCTGCTCCTTTTCCATGTCAGTTTTTTTGCTGTTCCAAGTGTTTTCGCACAGCATACTCAGTTGCTGAGCATTCTTAATTGGAGTTTAATAAATTTCTTCTGCTTTCAGCGTCAACTTCAAGAAAAACGAGAAGGAGTACCAGGGCGATCGCTCCGAGGTCCTGAAGTTCCTGCGCGAGGAGGAGACCGGCCAGTCCACTCCAGGTAATGACGCCAACTATGAGCTGGCCCGCCTGCTGCTCATCCTGAACGACGGTGCCAATCCGCTCGTGAGCGATGTGCTGGGCGATTAGCAGGGGGAGGGCGAGGTGGGCGGGCAGTCTGCCAGATGCTAGCCAATGATTTTTTTAAAACGCCCAGCAGGGACCTTGAAATGGGGATTTTGTAACCAATTTGTTTTGTTTTTTGTCGTTTAACCCATCAGACAACCAGAAGGAGATGGACTTTCGTTTTCTCTATGTGAAGACACATTTCTAGTGCCCACACACAGTCATGTCTTCAAATATATATATATTAACCAACAATTTCAATGTCACCTGCACGGAATAAGTCGTAGATAGTAAAGTATTATTTTTAGTCAGAAGCAATAGGTTTCGTATGGGCAATCACTTGGTAGTTGATCGATAGAAGGGGTCATGTAGTTTAGTTATCTGATTAGTTCCGATTGCAGCATGAGCTCAATTTTTTGTGTCTTGCCAGCTCATTTCTGTCTCCCATTGACTGCTAAAGTATACCCATAGACACACCCATTGCAACCCACCTTCTGTCTATCTATCTGTCTAACTCTTGTTTGTATTTAAACTGTTTTTCATACGCACCAAAACAAACGACTATCGACAACACGGCCCACACCCACACACACCAACAGCATTCGGCAACAGCCACTACGAGCATGATGCACCACAGCAACTGCAACAGCAACAGCAACAGCAGCAACCACAACAGCAATACAACCAACACCAACACCAGCAACACTATCACCAGCAACAACAACAGCAGTCGAGCACCACTCGCCATGTCAGCGCCCCCGTGAACTCCCCCAAGCCCCCGAGCACCGGCGGACTCCCAACTGGCCAGAACATTTGCACCGAGTGCGAGCGCCTCATTACGTAAGTGCCTCCGATTGGATATCACCTGCTTGTGAAAGGAACACAGGGTATCGACCGGGACTGACAGGGTGATAACTCCAAGATATCACCTTATCGCACCGATCGAATGCCCTCTCCGTTGTGTGTGAACCAGCATTTGTGTATGCACATTGACTAACAGCTAGAACAAGCGCGATGCTTTCGCATTAGTAACTAATAGCCAGCAACTAGTGGGGTGCTTAGTGGGTTCGGTTTGAGGGAGCAGACTGTAGGCAGGTTGTGCACATGATTTATCCAAATAACTCACTGAGCTTTTCCGCTTCAATGGCAATGACAATGGCGATGCCTGCGATTGTGTAGAGCCACACAGTCCCGCCAACTTCTACTGGACGCAGAGCCACGCAATCGGTGGCAACGAGCGACGCACTCCACTGCACCACCAGCATCAGCAGCAGCAGCAGCAGAATCAGCAGGATGAGCGGATTGGTGTTCCATTGCAGTCGAATAGCCTGGCGCCGGAGGCGCCACACAGGCCCAGTTTGCCGGTGGCCCCGAAGGATAACGTGGAGCAGCCCAGGCAGGATCAGCAGGAGCAGGCCGATCCGCGCATCATTGTGCTGCCCATCTGCCCCGGCCTCCAGGGGCCCGAGTACAAGGCCGAAATGGAGGCGGCCGCGGCGGCACTGGCCACCGACCAGGATGGACGACCACGTCCATTGGCCGCCAGCGGACATCCGGCATGCCGGCTGTGCGGCGTGGGCATTGTGTAAGGATGCGTTGTTCGCCGTTCAATGATAATTCATGCGTCTGTTGTTCCCCCACCCCGTGTGTCTGCATTTTAATTCGCATTTATTCCACGAACTCACGGCGCCGAAGTCAATTGTTTGCCATTCACGCAATATTCCCAAGCACCTGGGCTCCAGCTCCCTGCTCCCACAACAGCCAGGAATAAAGCTCCTGATCCAGACCAGATCCATGGGAACCATCATTTGTATTAATTTGTATGCCAGTTTAATTGGCTCGCCGTTCGGAGCTTAACTCAATAATGCATTATAGCTTTTTACATATTTCTCGCATTACCTGCAACACGGCTAACCGATTGCCTTTTGGCCACTGTTGCAATGTACACACACGAATGCACAGGGAGCTCTATCAGTTGTAATCCAGCAATCAAGTGCTTTTCGATCAATCATCGCGTTCAGTGTCTGCACTTGAGGGGCTCTTCTAAGGGTTTTGTGTGGCAAGATTAAGTAGTTTAACTACTGTAGTAACCATCTCAGAGATAATAGTTCAAACGGAAATCCGTTCTCGTTACAATGCATTGTACTTTCATTGGCAATGGGAACATATAACCCTCATTGACCCCTGAAGAGCTCCTCGAACCCACATTTATGTAGTCCCGCTAGTAATACCGCTTTTTCCACACCCATTTTTCAGTGGCGTTTTCGTGCGCATCAAGGATAAGAACCTGCACGTGGAGTGCTTCAAGTGCGCCACGTGTGGCACCTCGCTGAAGAACCAGGGCTACTACAACTTCAACAACAAGCTCTACTGCGACATCCACGCCAAGCAGGCCGCCATCAACAATCCCCCCTCCGGCACCGAGGGTTACGTCCCCGTTCCCATCAAGCCGTAAGTGATCGGAGTTATGGCCAATATTTTATCAGATTTTTTGCGGCATGCGCCTTTACACGGCCAATTGGTCGGTGGCAGCAGGGGGGCGGGTAGAAGGGCCTGGGCTCACATGAAAATGAAATATAAATAAATTCAGCGTGTTCGTATATGCCAAAATACGACTGACATGCCGGCTACGAAAAATCGCCGTGCTCAACCGAGTATTTGCAGTGCAAAATACTCTGCAAAGGGATATTGCGATATATATATTGTCTTGATATTAAATTATAATCAAAACATCGATCAGGATATTATAGATGATAATTTTGGTAGTGCTTAATTAGAACTTCGTTAGATTTTCAAAGCTGAAGACTCTTAGATAGTTCTGTGCGTGCGAAGGGCATTAGCTCTTCGAATTCAACTATCCATTCGTTTTCACTGCCTTGTTTAATTTTTGTTTGGCCAATCGACGCTTTTGGAAATGAAAGAGGCGACACTGATTGCTCTGCTGACGTGTCATCGGCTGTGCCGCAAATTTTTAATAAATGAATTGGCAACATATGTGTGTGCCGCATACTTTGCATGCCAACTAAAACGATGCCCAACGAGTTGGCCAAGTACTTTCCCCACTTTCCCACCAATCGATTGCGATTGCGATTGCAATATGAACACACATGTAGGTGGGCGAAATGCCTGCGGGTGTGCGATATTGCTGGTGTGTCAAAAATGTTCAAACTGCCAGTGACAGTTGCAATTTGCATTTGGCATTTGGAATTTGTTTTGCGTTTCTGGTGGGCTGTTTGCCTAATTTAAAGCAATGTCGTTGGCCAAACCAAATTAAAGGTCTTGCACTGGGGGCCAATTAGGCGAACGGCGCTGACAGCCAATTACCGCTGGCAAATCTGATTTACGTGGCACTTGTCTAAGGTATTCCCTATCTTTTCTATTATTTTCCATTGCCGCCGCACAGCAACACCAAGCTGAGTGCCTCCACCATCTCGTCGGCCTTGAACTCGCACGGATACGGTGGCAGCTCGAACGGCTACTCCAATGGAAACTCCGCCCCAGCTCCGGCACCGGTAAGTACAGATTCCGCCAGGTGGCAGTAGAAGTGCCTAAGTTCCACCTGTCAAGTGTTAAGTGTTCCCTGCCGTGGCTAAAACAAGGTCAGACACTCGCCGAAAAATAAGAAAACACAGACGTATCGAGATAGAGACACAGCCAAACACACAATCAGTTGAGGGAAAATATGCGGCGGCTTTTCCACCCCCGAATCTTCCGCACCTGAATCTGCTCTTGCAACATTCAATTCTATCATATTGCTAGGGAAAATGTTTGCTTAAACTCAGCACATTTCGCCGGAAGCGCCAGCATCCGACATATGCTAAAATGTTAAAAATCATCTGCAGGACGAGGGGAACGAGGAGAGGGCGGGGGCCGAGAAAAATGCAATATAATGCAAAAAGTTTTTGCCAGCAAAGAAGTTCAAGCATCTCGTGCAATTTTATCAAGAAACGCTTCTTGTTTACTGTTTTCTTTGGCTGCCGTTCCGCACTCTTCCACTTTTCCGCTTTTCCTGGCCACAAAGCGATCAAATGAATGCGAAAGAGTTGCATGCATTTGCCAGCAGAGCACAAAACTTTGCGTAGTTATTTGTGGAAATTATTTGAAAACATCAAGAGCATAATTTGCACATTGTTTTCATGTATTGATCAAATGGTTAATTCATTTAAACCGATTTGACACGTTGTCATGCCATTTTCCTTGTTTCCTGTGTGTGTGTGCTGCCTGTGTTTCCATTTATTTAACTCTGTGTTTTTCCGTGAGTCCTCTGCCTGCCTTGCATGGATTTATTGTTTATGTTGGTGGTACCGACCTACGGCTGATTGGGTGAGCAGCTCAAGGGCTTGGCATCCCAGGAGGGGTGTGCTTTCACTGAGAGATTGAGGACTGCCCCTTGACACGGACGGCGAATCAATGCGATCGACATGGCCAGATTGATTGCGCGGCGGTATAAATAGTGAACGGCGGCTGCCGAGTCTATTTTACTATTTTTTTGTTTTTCTGTTTTTCTGTTTTGCAGCGGCCAGCGCATTTCGCGAAAATGTGCAATGGCTGCTAGAAGCTAAATATATATGCCAAGCGCTGCTTTTTACTCATTTCATTCTCGTTCTCGGCTATTTATTTTATTTTTTGCCTTTTGGCCATCTATAAAAAACTCACAGCTGCAGCGTGTTGGCAGCTTTTTGGCCGCCGTGGCCGCAGTTTCTTTGCGCCCTGTGCTCAGTGCGCATCTCGTTTCCCGACGGAGTCCGTGTGCGTGTCCGTGTCCGCGAAGTGTCCGTAACTGTGTCCGTAACTGTGTCCGCAGCGAGCGGACAACGCAGAAGCGACACAGTGTCCAAAAATCGGCTCACGTGCTGCCCTCCAACGATCAACGATTAGCGAACCAAGTGAAACGACTCTATTTCAGTGACTTCAGCGGAAGAGAACTCTTCTAGCGAATCAGATTTGCGCAGGTTGCATAATCACCCAAGTGGATTACCCAAGGAATATGGCTGCTCTTCAGCATTTCCCAGTTGGAGTGGGGCTGCTATTTAGCCCACCCATTGACCTTGACCTATTAGCCGTTTTTAGAACACGACCACAAACACAAACACACACTGCATATAGTATATAGTACACGCAATGGGGTTTTAGTTCATCAGCCGTAGGTTGTGCTCCACTTGCATTGCTCGTGCATTTTAATTAACCGCCTTTGTTAACCCCCGCCTGCCCGCATTAACCCATTTAGCCTGAGTCTGAGAGCAGCCAGGAGTTGCCCCTGCCTCCGCCCCCCTCGCCCACCCAGCTGCTGCAGTACGAGGCGGAGCAGCAGCAAGTCCTTCCGGAGCAACACATGTCCACCATCCAGCAGCAGCAGCAACAGCAGCAGCAGCAAAAGCAGGAGCACACTCGCACCCACAGCAGCCTGTCATCCATTTCCAGCGGCTCCTCCTCCTCCGGAGTGGGCGGCAGCGGCAGTGGGAGTGGCAGTGGCAGCGGCAGCGGCAGCGGCGTGGGCCAGAGCCAGCAGAGCTACTCCTCCACTCTGTCCCTGGATCGCTTTGGTTCGCCCCTGCACTCGCGCCAGACATCCGGCTCCTCCACGTCACTGGAGGTGGCTTTGGCTGCTCCTGGCGCTGGCCAGGGCGATAATTACACCATGACGCCGCCCTCCCCGCCGCCGCCGCCTCCTCCCCAGGCTCAGTCCGTGACGAATTACAGGCTGCAGGCTGCGCAGAACGAGAACGACATGAATACGCAGAACAAGAGCCCCAATGCCTACAACCAGCTGCTGAAAGAGTACTCCAACAAGCTGCAGCAGCAACACCACCACAACACCACACAGCACACGACAGCGACAGCAACAGCGACAACAGCACCCCCACTAAAACACAACAACACGGCCAAGCCATTTGCAGTGGCATCAGCGGCAAGCACCACACCCCAACAACACCTGCCACACCTACAACACCAGCAACACCAGCAACAGCCGCTTGTGGCAGCGCTCACGGCGACACTTGCTAATCAATTGAAATTTAACCCACATCAGGTTGCAAGCTCCCAAGCAGCAGTAGCAACAGTAGCGCCAACCGCTGCAGCAGCAGCAGCGGCAGCAACACCCCAAGCAGCAACTGCAACAGATAGCCCAGCTGCAACAGCATCATCAACAGACAATATGTCCGCCTACGTGGCAGATGAGCCCTCTTCGATTTATGGCCAAATTAGCGCCGACTCGGTGGCTATAGCCCCACCACCACCGCAGCCACCCACCGCCGGCGGGGGCGATCAGCCCTTTGAGTACGTCACGCTCACCGGCAACGTCATCCGCAGCGTGCAGGCTCCCGGGAAGGGGGCGTGCCCCAGCTACAAGGTAAACCCACCCACTCCGCCCCCAAGGTCGAGGTCAGCGAGCAGCAGGGAGGAGTTCAATTTAAAGGACAGTTGGGGCGCCATAAATCATAAATATAAACAGGTCTAAATCAAGTTTGAGTCGAAATTAAAGCTGGCAGTGCAGCCTTTAAGTTAAATAACTATCAAATTGTGCATCCTAAGTATTAGACAAGATTTCTTAGATTTTTCTATAAAAGATATGCAGTGGCTAAGACCTTTGAAATGTGTTGCCAACTGTCATCGACTTGTTAAATCTGTATTCCCGGTGTAAGTATCCTGCTTCAAGGATACATGTCGAGCACAAATCCCTGCTGCTCGCCGTCCTGCCCCACCCGAATGACCACCAAGAATGACCTAGTCCAAGAAGTAAGTACCTCGCACTCTGCTCCGCTCAGCTCGCGCCGCAGCTCGCTCAGTTTAGGCCCGAAAACTAATTGACCTGTGTTAAGTGTTGTAATGTGTTGGCCCGAATGAAATCGCAGCAGCCCCACTAATAGTCCACTTCCACTTCTCCCGTCCAAAGGTGAACCAGGGCTACGCTCGTCCCTTCGGCGCCGCCGCTCCCAAGTCGCCGGTGTCCTATCCGCCGCAGCAGCAGCAGCAGCAGTCGCCGCGTCCCGCTCCCGGTGGCCAAAACCCGTACGCCACCCTGCCCCGCAGCAATGTGGGCCAACAAGGTAAGGATGATGATGACGACGGCTGTCTGTCAGAAGGTGAATGGGTCTAGTCGCTAAGCCAATTGGGATTTTGTACCATGTTTTGTGCCATACGAGTATACCGAACACCTGATTTAGCCCGCAGTTAGTTCCTTTTGTTGTTAGCCTGAGAATGTGAGTGATAGACGAGGCAGTCGATCGATTGTTGTATAGTATTAACCGGATTTCTGTTTTGTATATATATATTTATCGAAATAAATTGCACATGACTTAACCGTAACCGAAAGCCGTGGACAAACCCGAAAAGAACTAACCCATAACGGACCTCAAATGATCGAAATAATCGAGATGCTTCTGGCGAAATTTACTAAAACCATTTTCTGCTCGTTACACCCCGCCCTCGTGAGCAACTAAATGAAAACTATTTGGCAAATGTGGCTGCATAAAACATTAGCATAGCTTAGGTTACTCTACCTATACTCGCACATATTTTGTCTGCTGCCCGTGTATATACATATGCCCATTTCTCTGTGCCCTGTATGTATGTAGGTCGTAATGTAAGGTACCAGCAGCAGCAGCAGAAGCAGCAGTATAGGAACTCTTACCCCATGGGATCTAATTATAGCACCCCGAGTCAGTCCCCCTACATCACCTCCAACACCAACAACTACAGCAGCAACAACCACAACAACAACAACAACTATGGCAGCTACAACAATAATAATGTGTACCGAGGTAAAATGCAGCCGAAATGCAACAAGAAAATCGCATTGCCTCGCAGCCAAGTTTTAGTTCGACACAGTCCACAGCCGTAGATAAACCCACTTGTTGAGACCCGATAACACTCGAAAGTTGCTGCTTTAAAGAGTTCTGCCATATCACATGCCCGCATAAAGCCATTTAAGCCCATTCAAGCCCATTCAGGTTGAAGCGCAGAAATGAATTTCATTAGCAGGTACGATTACACACCCATCTCCAACATCCAGCCCATCCAGCCCATCCCGCGAATGCATTAATAATGGAAACATTTTGTTGACAAACTCAATCAATAGGCGGGGAGGCATTTTAAAATGTGTTTATCATTATTATGGCGCCCAGACGGGAAATTAAAACTGACAATGGTCGCAAAATGGCCGGGAAGGGGCATTGGTGCTATCGGTGGTTTCAATGCCAATGCGATGGCCATCTTCCACTTCCGTGTGCCAGTCGAAATGCTGAAAGGCGAACGGCGAACGGCGAACTGCGAATGCAGTGGGTGCAGAAACCCAACCCAACCCAACCCAATGCAACCCAACCAAACCAAACCGATCCGAAAAACCAAACCGAATGAAAGCAAACCAAAGCGATACGCTGCGTATACGTAACGCGTTGCCATTGCAACGAAACGGCGCCATTCATGTTCACAGAAATAAATGATATAAAATGTATTTGGTTGCCGCTGCCATTGCTGCCTCAGCCTGCGTGGCTGCTGCCATTGTGGCCGCCTCCTCCGCTCCTTTCACCGAAAAGGGCTTTAAATGCAGCGCAAATATGCCGCCGCAGACAGTGGGCGGTGCAAGAAAATTGCCGCACGAAGCCAGGAAGATCATGCAAATCAGTGCCATATATTGACTCTAAATTTATTAATGTTTACTATGCAGTTGTCATTAGTAATTTTCATAGCTTAATGTGCGTTGGATTTTCTTGCTCACTGTGATTTTGCGGCTTTAACAAGAACACTTTGGCACTCCCGCGGCAATTTCCGGTATTTTTTCTTCGCCAACTGCACATATATCCTTGCAGCTCCGTGTTTGTCTGTCTGTGGGCTTGTTTGTTTGTTTGTTTATCAATTACCGCGCTGCCAGGCTGGCTGTCATAACGGAATGAATTAACAACAAATATGGCCGCGCCGGCAATCGCACTACCAATTTATGGGCCAATTTTTGCCAGTGCCGCCTTCGTTAAGCAATTAAAAATGCAATTAGCCAGGGACGCACTGCTGAGGATCCCTCTGCTGCCATAAATCTTCACTTGGCCGGGAATCAATCTCCTAATCAAGGCGAAAATCACGCACAGCCGCAGAAATCATTTGTGGTTTTCGGTTTAGGCTTTCGTGGCCTCTCCAAAAATCGAGTGGCGGCTTATCCAGTTCCGAATTTGCTGGGCGGGGGGCGAAAAAGAAAAAAAAGAAAGACGAAGAAATGTGCTGGCAAACAAATGTTTGCCCTGCTCAAATGCCAGCACGCACTGGGGCAGCTTTTCCCACACGGAGCGGGAAATGTAAACGAAAGCAGATAAATTGCCAGCCATTATTATACGAACAAGCAAGCATCCGCCTCAGTTTCAGCCAGGAATTTTCCGCACTTTTCTTGGCGGGAGCGGGCGCATATTGAAGCATGCCAGGGGGCCATACATCAAATGGTTGGCATTCGTCAGAGCGAGGATTTATGGAGGGCACTTTCACCATCTAATTTCTGCGATCGGGCGAAACTCAATAGTTTTCCCGGCCCCATTAGCCATTAGCCATGAGACATTATCCCACGAATAACCTTTGTTTTGGTTTCTGCTTCTTTTAGGTTACGGTTACCCCTACACGTATTAGAAAATCCCAATGCCTCACCCACATACACACACAGCCGCCAATCAAAAGGCGTGCAAAGTTGGCGAAATTCTGGAAATTCTGCGAATATAAACCTACCTAAATGTTAAAACCTTCTTGAGTTGAATGGAATACTATGAGTTTTAAGCAATAAACTGCGCGTTATACTTCAAACAAACACTCCCGAAGATCTTTATAAGCACCATAGTATAAATGCTTCGTGCCTAACCGCAAACTGCTTAAAGCGCTCTAAGATACAGAACGCCCAGATATGTATCTGTGTCTACATAAATACTAATCGAACTGTGTCCTCTGCTGTTCTAGGAAATTTCTTTCTTTGCACAACTTTGCATGCCTTTTGTCTGAAAAGAAAAGAACACAATAGAATGGGGGTGAGCACAGGGCCAAAAATAATAAACATAAAGAAGAACTTTTGCCTCTTATTATGGCCGAAAAACTTTCTGTTGCTGCTGCCAACATTTTTGATATGACAAAATATTTGCGGCCATAACTTCGTTTCGTTGGCCTGTTTGTTTTCCGTTTGTTTCTGCCACAGAAACGCTCCTGTGTCCTCGTGTTGGTCGTGTGTTTCTGCCATTTTCAATTTCTGCGAAATTACAGCCAATACCGAATTATGCATAATAAAATCCAATGACTACCTGTCGACGCCATTTTCCCCATGTTGGGCTGCGGCTCCTCCCTTTGTTGTTGTACTTCTGTATTTTTTTGGGGGAGGAGTCAGACGTGGTCCCATAAAAAATGGAAGTAAATATGCGTGCCTAGCGAGGAGAATTTCCAAGCTCCCAGCTCCCTGTGTGTGTGTGTGTGTGCGTGTGTTTATTGTTGCTCGCCATGAAAATGGCTCTGAAAATAAGAAATAAAAAATTTATTTGCCCCGGCATGGGGCATAAAGCGACTATTGTTGAATCGCATTTAATATTTTCCCTCTTTATACGGCCAGCGATACACCGTTGTTTGTTTGTCTGTCAACAAATTGCAATGGGGGGTTGGTTGGGCGTAAAACTTTTCCGATCCACTCATGGCTTCGCTTCGATTGAGTTGCCGACTTGACCGTCTTCCTGCTCATTGCTGTGCGCCCTCAACCTGACCATCCATACACCACTTGAGACACTCGAACCACTCCAGCGCCCATTACCCACACAAATCACTGGGTTGCTTGGTTTTTTGCGCCAATTGCCTTGTAGTTTTTAGAACAAGTTGCGAACATAGTTCTTAAGCGCCTTCGAATCCGCTGCCGCTGCCAACGTTGCACCACCACCACCACTGATCCACCGAACCACCGAACCACTGACCACTGATCCAACACCAACGCTCTGCCGCTTTCTCAGTGCCAAGGACTAACAAGCGCTTGTCTTTTGTTTCTTTCTGCTCTTATATTTGCCCTGCCCGCCCAATAAACACAAACAAACTAACTATGCACCCTGAAACATACAAATAAACCCTGCCCCGCAAAAACACTTGACCCCTGCTGTTTGACCCGTCCAACGGGAAGGTGGAGAGGCTGTCGAGGAATTGCAGCCGGAGTTCGAGGAGGAGGACTGCTATGAGATGGACATCGAGGTGGCCCTGGCCGCCAGCCGTCAGTCGCAGCGTGGCTCTAGTTTCACCTGGCCACCGCCGCAGGATGATAGCCACTTGGCGCCCACCGCCGCACCACTGTATATCCCACCGCCGGAGACGCAACATGTGGTGGTTTCGAATCCGGTGCAAGAAGTGCCTCCACTGCCACCTGGAGGAGCAACCGCGCGACTAGATCCGCAGCCTCAAGTTGGCGCCTCGGCCAACGGAGCACCCCAGTGGCAGAGTTACTCCGCACCACAACTGACAGCCGGTAGTGCCCGCCAATTGGCGGAGCAGGAGTCTAGCTCGGATAGCTATACATCCACGTCGACCACCACGACCACTACTTCGGAGGAGTACCAGCGAATGTACGCAGCCCAGGTGCAGGCCTATCAAATGCAGGAGCAGTCTGGCTCCGAGTTCGATTACCAGGTGGATTACGGCAGCACCCAGGATTCTATGCAGGACTATCCGTCCGGCAGGAGAAGTGCCCAAGAGTGCGTGGACTCCCTGGCTGTGCCCTTGAGCACCTACAAACTGGTGGATATGGTAAGGGAGGTTACACCCAGTCCCGTGACCACTCCCACTCAAACTCCTGCTCCTGCTGCTCCTTCGACCCGTCGCGTTGTGTTCAACGATGAGCCCGAGATCAAGGAGTTACCCCAGCTACCCGCGGAACTGGAGACCATACCAGAGGCCTCCGAAGCTCTAGAAGATCGCGAGGGCCTCGTGATCGAACAGCGGTGCCAGATCCTGGAGAGCGAACGCAAGTTCCAGCCCACACCCGAGATCAAAATCGAGATTGCCCCGGTGCGCCAGATACCTCCGACCAAGATTCCCAACCCAATGCCCAAGGAGTGGATTAATCCCATGATTCGCGTGTTGACCACAGCCCCGGAGGTTCCCTTCCACCTGGTGGAGTGTCCTTTTCCCCGGCCCTGTGGTGATGATTTCGAAGCAGAGGCCGCCGCCGCCGAGGCTGCCAAAGCCCAAGAGGTTCCTGAAGCTCCCCCTCCACCAGTTTTTTCTGCTCAACCGGCCATAAATTCAGTTGAGCCATCACCTGCTCCCTTGCGGGAGTCTCCTCCCCGAGGATCCCGACTCACCCAGGCCATGGTTACTGCTCCCGAGTTCGAGCTCAAGTTCGCCCCTCCCGCCGACCAGGGCATTCCACTTCCAGAGGAGACCGAGCCCTACATGCCACCACCCATTGACACGAAGCCCTATCTGAGGGAGGATTACCGACCCAAATCACCATTTGTGAGTGCTCTAACCACCGCTCCCGATCGCCCCTTTGAAGGTCACTTCGACAAAGATGTGCCCATCCACATGATTGACCTGCCCACCCCCAAAGAGCACCTGAGCATGTGTGATGCCCTGTGCACCGCCCCAGAACGTGGTTACACCCCCCTGAATCCCGAGAATGCGATGCATCGCGTAGACGAGGAGCAAAAGCAGCAGGAACTCAAGAAGCGTGAATTTCAGGTGCTGGATCACGAGGAAGAACTGGGCATCCGACCGGAGCCTCCTCAGTCCGTGCAGTTCTACGAAACGCGGAGGGATCAGCCACGGAAGTCCTCTGCCTTTGCGGCCATGCAAGCATTCCAGCCATCCCGTGAACCCTTGTCCTCGAACACGGTTTCCAATGCTGGCAGTGTGGCCGACACCCCCAGAGCCTCGATTGTGTCTGCCTTGAAGGAGGAAACCGATCTGGAGTACCAGAAGTACCTCAAGGCCCAGCAGCGCAACCAGAAAAGATTGGACTACTTCCACCAGAAGGAGGAGGAGCTCTCGGGCCTCCAGGGCCAGCAGCTAACCCAGCTTCAGAGGGAGCTCTCCAACCAGCAACAGAGTCTCCTGAGCCAACAGCAATTGCAGCAATCCAAGTTGTTGCAACTGCAGCAGTGCGTCCAGAGCCAAGAGCTGCAGCAACAGATGCAGCAACTCGCCCAGAAGTCGCAGCAGCAACCTCCTCAAGCCAACCAGCAACAGCAGCAACAGCTAGGGGGTTCCCAACAGCAGCAACACTCCCAAGTAACCCAAAGAACCCAACAGCAACAAGAACACTCTCTGCTCTCGCAAACCACATTCGCGGAGACCCAAAACCTTCAGGCCAATGCCCAATCTCAGAGTTCCGCCTCCTACAGCTCCAAAGCGACTGCTTGCTCTAACTCCTCTTCCACAGTCCCACCTGCCACCACCTCTACCGCTTTCGCACCTGCTCCAGCTCCAGCTCCAGCTTCAGTTCCAGCTCCCACCAGCACACCTCTCCGCCCATCAGCTATTGCTGTACAAAGTAGCTACTGCAGCAGACAGTTCGATGCCCACGAGCTGATCGAGGAGACCGCCGAGGAGCTAGAGCACTCGGAGGTCCTGTTCCCGCCGCCCTCCCCGCTGAGCCACCTGACCAAACAGGGCAAAGCCGTACAGTCCGGCCTCCACAAGGCGGACAGCATCCCCAAGTACCAGCGCAACTGGACGGTGCTGCCCACCCAGAGTCCCATTCGCACTCCGGAACCGCAGGAGCTGCGCGAGAACGTGCCGCTGGCATTCGTGGATGCCCCGAAGGCACCAGTTACCAGTGACACCTCCACTGTACATAGACCCATAGCCCAGGTTGCTGCGCCGACAACTGTGGTGGCTCCTTCCCGGGAAAGGGAGAAGGAGCGGCGGCCCCAGCTGTCGGTGCCCATTATTGTTGAGGATCGATCGGGTCCAGTAACGATGGCTTTCCAACCGTTAGACGAACTGGTGCGACCGGACCAGGCCCTGACGCCCACCAGGCCGTACACCCCGTCGCTGACCAACAAGCCAGCTCCAATCGTGCCCTTCTACCAGACGGAGGAGAAGCTCGTTTTCGAGGAGTGCTCGGCCACCCATGCCAGGAACTACAACGAACTGAACGCCTCGCCTTTTCCAGACAGAACACGTTCTCCGGCTCCGGGACCGCCGCCAAATCCGCTGAATGCCATTCGAGCGCCGAGGATGAAGGAACCGGAAACCAAGTCCAATATTCTGTCCGTGTCTGGAGGTCCTCGCCTGCAGACGGGCTCCATAACCACCGGCCAGAGCTACCAGGGACAGCTTTTGGCCCACTCCGAGCAGAGTTCCCAGTCGGCCAGTCAGAGCTTCAGCCAGCAACCGGAGAGGATTACGGAGCAAAGGCTGGGCAACCTGAGCATTCAGCAGAGGGAGCAATCTTCCCAGCTGCAGCAGCAAGCTCAATCGCAGACTCAGAGTCAGACACGCAGCCAGGTGGGAAACACCCAAATCGAGAGGCGTCGCAAGGTCACCGAGGAGTTCGAACGCACCCAGAGTGCCAAGACTATTGAGATCCGCACTGGCTCGCAGTCCGTCAGTCAGTCGAGGGCCCAGTCGCAATCCATCAGCCAGGCCCAGACCCAGGCTCAATCTCAGTCCCAGAATCAGTCGGACACAGAACGCCGCTCTTCGTACGGCAAGACGGGATTCGTGGCCAGTCAGGCGAAGCGCCTTTCCTGCATGGAGGAGGAGATCAGCAGCTTGACCAGCCAATCGCAGGCTATTAGTGCCCGGGCCTCTGCTCTCGGAGAGGGCTGCTTCCCCAACCTGAGATCGCCCACCTTTGACTCGAAGTTCCCACTTAAGCCGGCTCCCGCGGAGTCTATAGTACCGGGCTATGCTACTGTTCCGGCGGCCACGAAGATGCTAACGGCGCCACCACCGGGATTCCTGCAGCAGCAACAGCAGCAAAGGTCTGCTTTCTCGGGCTACCAGGCCACCACTTCATCGGTGCAGCAGAGCTCCTTTGCGAGCAGCTCGAAGGCCACCACATCATCGCTCTCATCCTCATCAGCATCTGCTTCAGCATCAGCATCAGCATCCGTCGCGAGATCGTCGCAAAGCCTAACCCAAGCTTCTGCTATTACTACTACCACTAATAACCAGGCCACCACGGCCTACAGGAGCAGCAATGGCAGCATTACCCAGCCTAATCTGGCCTCGCGGCCATCCATCGCTTCCATCACAGCTCCAGGATCAGCAAATGCTCCCGCTCCTGCTGCAGCTCCAGCTCCATTGGCAGCTCCGACCAGAGCTACTGCTCCATTCAAAGCTCCGATTGTTCCCAAATCGGTGATAGCGAACGCTGTTAACGCCGCTGCTCCACCTGCGCCCGCTGTCTTTCCGCCAGACCTGAGCGATCTGAACTTGAACTCTAATGTGGATAATTCCCCAGGTGCCGGAGGAAAGAGCGCTGGCGCCTTTGGAGCCACCTCGGCGCCCAAGAGGGGCAGGGGTATCCTGAACAAGGCAGCCGGACCCGGAGTGCGCATCCCACTGTGCAACAGCTGCAATGTGCAGATCAGGTGAACAGAGCATCCCAGAGTTTTGTTGTGTTCAAAGTTTGATTCTTGTGTGTGCCCTTGAATGATTCTAATCCGCTTCCGAATACCCTGAGATTGATCTTTTATTTTCTCTGCCATAGTTAACTTACCTATGTTATAATGTTATATTTTGGGATCAGCTTCCTACTGATAAGTTCGATACCAACCAGTCCCACTAATTTGCCTGCCACCAATCTAACCCATTCGCTATTCTGTGTTCTGTTTACCCCAATTTGTTGCAGTTTCCACAGGAGCTCAAAGCGCTGCCAAGTCCACTAATACGCATGCTAGTCCGCAAACTTTCGCCACCCTGCCACGCCCCCAGCCTCAGGCAACTGACACACCCGCCCAGGAGCTGCAGAAGGATCTCCAACTGGATTCGGATGCCACTTCCATGCTGGCTGAGTCCGTTGGAAAGATAAATATGGGCGACAAGACCCAAGCATTCATGCAGGAAGCCGGCAAAATCATCGCCAATATGCTGGAGGCACGATTGGCCAGCAATGGTGGACAAAATGGACCCCTTTCCCATGCGGGTAGCTCTTTGAGTCTGCGCAGCAACAGCAGCTCCAATCTCTCAAAGAGCCCAATGATCGTTCGCAAGCGTTTGGATCTCGACGACTTTAAGAACCTGGATCCCACCCAGCCGGTTGCACTGCAACCTGTTATAGCCGTACATGCACAGAAGGATCTGCCCACTGAGGTGGGAAACCAGAAGGCGCAGCCGCAGGCGCCTCGGGTGGAACAAACCCTACAGATGGAACTCCCTGCCCAGCATCCCATGGGCAAGATACTTGATCTCTGCGACAGTGGCAAGGCCATCGACGCACCCGAACCGGTGGCATTTAGGAACAATTTGAGACGCACTGGTGCCACCCATGCGGCTGATCGAAGATCCTACATAGAACCTAAGCAGGCGGCTAACAATGGCACCTCCGTAAGCAGCCAAATTGGCAATCAGAATGGTGGCCAGGCGGGAAATCAGAATGGCAGCCAGAGTAGCGCACCCACCTACAGTGTTTCCGTTAAAGCCTTGGGACCTCACAGTGAAGATCAGACCACCATGTCGGAGGAGAACGAAAGGGCCGTAAGTCAGTTGCTCAAGGAGGGTAAGCGACCCGTTTGTTGTCAGTGCAACAAAGAGATCACCTCGTAAGTACAGCTTGCCATTGCCTCGTTATTTTCCTCGTTGTTTTATAATAGTATTTCGCATATCCGAACTAATTTGCTGATGTCGCGTTTCCACAGAGGACCCTTCATCACGGCTCTGGGCCGCATCTGGTGCCCGGATCACTTCATCTGCGTGAACGGCAACTGCCGTCGTCCGCTTCAGGACATTGGGTTCGTTGAGGAGAAGGGCGACCTGTACTGCGAGTACTGCTTCGAGAAGTACCTGGCGCCCACCTGCAGCAAGTGCGCTGGCAAGATCAAGGTGAGAGTTAAGCAGGCCTCCATTGATTTATCCTACTAATGAACGGCATGGCATAGGGTGACTGTTTGAATGCCATTGGCAAGCACTTCCATCCGGAGTGCTTCACCTGCGGCCAGTGCGGCAAGATCTTCGGCAACAGGCCTTTCTTCCTGGAGGATGGAAACGCGTACTGCGAGGCCGACTGGAACGAGTTGTTCACCACCAAGTGCTTCGCCTGCGGCTTCCCCGTGGAAGCTGGCGACAGATGGGTGGAGGCCCTGAACCACAACTACCACAGCCAATGCTTCAACTGCACGGTAAGCGTCTCTACCGTGAATTCCCACTTAATACGAAATTTTAATCAACTTTTCCCAACATTTAACAGTTCTGCAAACAGAACCTGGAGGGTCAGAGCTTCTACAACAAGGGCGGACGTCCCTTCTGCAAGAATCACGCGCGCTAAGCCGCAACTCAGATGATTTTGTTCGACTTCAGGGATCACGCACACTAACCAACACCAACTATCTATCACAATCTTCGGATTACTTGGATATGGGAGCTTGCTCCCAACTCGTATCTAATGCTTAATACTGCAATTGTCAGAGTGTATAATGCGTAACTATTATTATTTCTATTTGTTTTTGAATTGTGCACACAAATGTTATCCTAATTTTAACTGATGATCGATTCGCTCTATATCAAAACAGTAGCTGCAAACGACACGAAATCGAATTAGCTAGCAAATTATATGTCCCACACAGGAAATAAACACACACAACTATTATTTATTCAAACATCGTATCATAACCGAACTACCGATCCCCAGATATATATGTATGTACTGTGGCCAGAGTTAATTTACTTAGTTGAGCCTGAAACTGTTGATCAACCCGTAACCAAAAGCTAACAAATCGCGCGAGAGGATTTCCCAAACCGATTGGCGGCGTAGAATCGGCTAATCAGAGATTAGATGAAACGAGGTTGTCAGCAGGCAGTTGCTTATTTAATTTCTAAATTTATGTTGTAAATTATCCATAATTCGATTGTAAATTGTAAATGATCAGCAAGTGAATAAATTTCGAAATCTTTTTCGCGTTTAAAAAACGAGTGCTTTCTTTTGTGATGCTCGTAAACAACAAGCACAATTTACTCTCCATGTGATGTCATTATCGTTGGCAACTTCCGGTTTGCTGGGCACACGAATTCCGCCGGCTGCCTGAAAGTATGCAACAGTTTTTGTTTTCACACACACTCATACTCACACATGGGCACGCACTTCTACATCAATTTCATGCTTAACCAATTTTTGTTGGTTTCATTTGAGCCTCGTATTTTATTTTTTCGGCTTTCGGCCCGAGGTGTGAGTGAGTGGGTGATGGGCTGTGCCGGGTGTTAATCGCTGGGACTCCAAATAGCCCCACTCCGCAAAACTCGGATTTTACCCCACTCTGAATACAAAACTTCAGAGGCCTGGCGGTGGCAGCAAAATTCACGGTAGATTAAGCAGGATCAGGACGTGGAGGCATGTGCCACGCCCTTCGTGCGAGAAAGAAAAACAATTTGGGGTTTTGTGGCATTTTTCAACGATTTGTTGGGTTTTATTTCTCTTGTTTAGTTTACGTTGCCTTGCACATTACGGTAAAGGACTTTAAGTTAGTTTTCGAGAGTGTGTGTTTGTTGTCCTTGTTGTGTGTGTGTGTGTCTGTGTTGTGTTGTGTGTATTGTACTCGTGCAGGACACGCGTGCAATTAGTCGTAACTTACATATCATTAGGGGTAGGTCTACCTATTTTGTTTTTGTGCGAAACGCATTCAGAAATCGAAATCGACATCGAAGTTCAGTATTCAGTTGGATATTCGTGGTTTCCGAAAGTGCGCGCCAAATTTGTCACCGTAGCGTTCCGTTGCGAGTTATGCATATCCCGTGGATACACATACCTACATACACTATATACTTAGTATTTGCTCTTCGTTTCTGGCCTGGTTTATAGTTTAGTTGCTAGAAATGCGTTCTAAATTTCATCGTATTTACAGTTGAATAGTGGTTAGTGGTTGGCTGAGCTCAGAGTTTCTCGTGTTATAATTTTAACATTTCCATTTCTTTTGGATACTTTAATACTTCAATGGGTAGGCGCATATGTATAATTGCAAGTATCTAGAATTCGTAATAACTACGCTGCGCATCTGCTTAATGCTTACAAAAATAAATTCAACACATTCAAGTACAACAAACAGCTTACCAGCTAACGCCGCTTACAGATACAGGTTAGAGATAGGGGTTACATTACATTCATTTAGGTGCAGCTTGAGTTCCGTACAAATAAATACCTTTGGGTTAACGAGTGTCTGAATCTGAAGTATCCAACCGTTCAGTTCGATCGCTACAGATGCGCCAATATATCGATCTGATCGAGGGCGCTGGCCTGGCCAGCTGCATTTTGCGTTTCAGTTTGCGTTTGCGTTTGCGTTTGCGTTTGGCTGTGGGTACTTCCGGGTGACTGGGAAATGGTCACAATGGTCACCAGATCCTTGTTTTTGCTCATCGCCGCCGCACCAGTCGACGCACCGCCCGTGCTTGCAGTGGATTCCCTCTCCGGAATGCGATTGGAGGACTCTATCTCCACGATGGCCGAGGTAAGCAATGTGTTCGACTGCAGCGCTGTGTAGTCCGGCAATTGCTCCACCACCGACGGCTCCGGCAGCTGCAGATCCTCGTTTGCCAACAGTCTTCCGGACGGAGCCGTCTCGATGTTCCGCTCACTGCACACGAGACTGGCGGGCGTGGCATTTCTGGAGCGGTAGCTGGGCGGCAAACTGTACTCCGAGCCGCCCATGCTGCTGCTGATTGTTCCCCCGGCGCCGCCTCCTCCGCCTATTCCGGATCTCAGGGTGGTCAATGGAGCCCTGGAAGTAAGTGAATCAAAGCATGAATTATTTACACATGAGCCAAAGTCAATCCTGTTCTGTTTGCCCTTCTCGGGCATAAGAAGATGGCAAATATGTTAACCAAATGCACAAATTTGCATCCATGAGATAGGGTCTCTTCAAAGGGGGATTTCTGTGGGACTTGTCTATCCAACTGCACTGGCCAACAATTAAAACTATCTCTTATTTCAGTTATTTTAAATGGTATTTAGTTCTTTTAGTTATCAGCAAGTGTACATTCATAACATATTGTTATTATTACTGTAAAGAAACGTAAAATCGAACACGAAACTTAAGAGCTACACATTTCATGTGAAATCTCTTTCCATTATTTTTGTGCAGTGCACCCATCCGTTGTCAGTCCCAAGTATGTATAGGATATATGACGACTCCGTTCCTTTTCAAACACATAAGCGTGTGTGTCTATTCTCTATATGCTCATCTTTGTCAATTTAAATAACAAAAGGCCGCTGTGGCAATTGTTGCCATGTGCATGGCAATAGGTAAAAAGATTTCAAGGGGAGGATTTTGAAAGGAGCTATTTTTAGGTGAGGGTTCGAGGGGGAACTAAACCCAAATCACAGACAATTCACACTTCAGTCGGCAGAGCACAAAAGTCAACACTCAAACGCTCATCTGCACATAATGGCCTGCCGAGTGCTCCAATGGGGGATGGGGGCGTGGCTCGGTCTCTGTGGGCGTGGCTGGTTGATTTCTCAAAATTCGAGAAGCTCGCACAAATTGTATGGAGCAATTTGGAGTATGTAGAATTGCATTTAATTGTTCCGACAAAGACGCCGGCCGAACGGAAACAGCAAAATAAGTCATCGTCCAGGATTTGTCCTGGAATCGGGCCTATCTATATGTCTTCCTCCATTGTCTGGGATGTGATGTGATGTGCTGTGATGTGCTGTGCATAACAGGCAATTTTCGCAGCACTTTAGTCGGCTCTTTGTTGGTTTAATTGACTTGGCCAGCAGCAAGGACAGTTTTCCGTCCTTGGAGCAGGACATCTTCCCCTTTTCCCCCCTCAGCTCACTAACCTTCCATCTTTACGGGCTGCTTGTTATGCGGCTTGGCAGGCTCTTCAGATGTGCGCGCGTGTGTGTAAATATTTTGCAAAATTTCCCTGAATTCTTTGCCAGCTTTTCCCCTCACCAACACTAACGTCATTTGAATACGCAACTCAGGCACACACATTTACTGGGGTCCCTGCCCGCCTGCCCGCCTGCCCGCCTGCCCGCCTTCCCGCCTGCCTGCCTTGAAGAATGCTGTGATTTCTTGCCACACACTTTGCATAAGTTTTGCTTTTTGACATACTTCCCCTGGCTGCTTCCTCTTCCTTCCGTTTCCGCTGACATTTTTGGCTAACCTAAGTGTGCGGAGAAGCCCCCAAATCAGATTTCCCTGTTGCCTTTCCATTTGCATTGCACACATTATAAATATTCAAGTGTGTGAGTGAAGTAAGTTAATTTGACATAAATACGTTACGGTTTGAATGGCAATTTTCTAAAACGAGCTGCAAATATTATTTAAATACCAAATTCAAGCTGCCTTTGTCTGCCTTTCGAGCAGTAATTTGTAGGCCATAAAAATCAACTTTTCCCATTAGCCCAACATTATGCGTTCCGGGCGATAATTATTCCAGCGCCACCCACTTTTCTGAAAAGTCCTTGTCATTTAAATGCCCTTCGCTTGAGTCATGCCCCTTGGCGGGCGAAACGCAATCAGATTGCTCATATATATTCAGGGTGGATTGCTTTATCTCTTCAATTAGTGCCGAATCAATTGGCGAGTGTTTGCTGCCATCATCAGACAATCTTTTGATTCCAATCGTCCCGTTGAATGGGAAAAATCGAAAATTACCCGAAAACTTGCGACCCCCAAAAGCAATGTGTCAATGTTGACACCCTTGGAAACCGCACAAAAGCCAAACCGCCGGAGCAGAGTTACCCCAGATCCCAGATCCCGGATCTCCAATGTTCCCACATTCACCATGCCCAATTTTCCTTAACGCGCTCCACCTCCTTGGCAGTCTGGAAAACATTTTGCGGTTTGGCAGGCGCCAAACTTTGCAAATAACTCACGAATGGCGGAACGGAGCAGTCGGTGGAGGAGCTGGAGTAGTGTTGCAGGGAGGATTGCGCCGGAAACGGAAGTACTTACCTCAGCAGGCTGCCCGCATGAGATCGATAAGTGGGCGGCGGCGAGTTTCCACGCACCACGCCATTCTGGCGATCGCGGTCCAACAGCAAAAGTCTGCGGGAGAGAAGCGGAAAGGATTCGGGTGAGTAGCTGTTGTAGTTGTGTGGCATGCCACGACAGGAAAAAGGCGGCCGGCCAAAGGGTAAAGGGTGTGGGGGTGAGGATGTGAGCGCTGACAATAGATACACTGACAACCAGAGGCGATTTAAAGACTTTCCAGATATGCGGATGTTTTGTAAGCAATTGTGGACAATTGTTAAATTTGTACTTATTGAAAAGTATTTGTCGCAAAGTACACTCTTATGTGAGCAATATATATATTTTTTTGCAATTACATGTACATACAATAGTTTTAAAGTGTGGTTTCTCTTTGATTGTGGTAGATAGTGAAACAGACAGACGAGATGCTCTCAGTGTAGCTACAAATCGCTCTGGTCGCTGCATAATTATGCATAATGCAATTAATTGCGCCAGGACATGCGAGTGGCGAACGAAAGCCGCAGGTCCGCCACCAACTGCTGTCCTTGCGTGTAATTTATGCACCAGCAGTTCTGGTACTCCCTGTACTCCGGGTACTCCTGGCAGCCAACTCACCTCAGCCGATACTCCTGCATGCTGGCCTGGTAGGAGGGCGGCGGCGGGCGGTGCTGGAACTCCGGATAGAGCAGACCGTGCGGTGCTCCGCCGCCGCGACTGCAGGGCCTCCGGCCACACCGTCCGAGGTCCACGCTGGTGCCCAGGCCGATTCCCAGGCAGCTCTGGCCGCCCGGCGCCGTCATCCGCCAGGCGGCACCACTCACAGTCACCAAAACGACGCCAACTCCTGCAATGGCAAAGGAAAAATTCAAAAATGAGAGGTGGAAACGGACTTAATTTCAGAGCTAGACTTCGGTTAACGCCCCCAAGTGCCCCTCCCCCCACTCCCTCTCGATTATCCATTTAGCTTGAGCATTAATTAGCCCACTCCCAAGGGGGCGT